ATACATGTGTGACAATAGTCATATGTGTATAATAACAGTAGAAGTATGACTAATGACTAATGATGGCAGCAGCAGCAGGAGGCATCTGGCAGGACCACGGCAGCAGCACAACCACACACATCACGCTGTCCAGGCACCACTGTGATATGAGTTAATCTGAGAGACAGTGGAGCACAAAGGCTCCGGAGAAGAAGCCGAGTTAGTGACATCCAGAATGGCCGAGTTAGCAAGATGCAGTAATAGAATACGAGAGAGAGAGAGAGAGAGAGAAGGAGAGAGAGAGAGAGAGAGAAGGAGAGAAGGTGCCAGGTGTATTATAGGGGGTCCTCCGGCAGACTAGGCCTAAGTCAGCCTAACTAGGGGCTGGTACAGGGCAAGCCTGAGCCAGCCCTAACTATAAGGTGTTTCAGTGTTTCAATGTTTTAATGTTTCAGTGTTTCAGTGTGTTGGTGTTTTAATGTGTCACTATTTCAATCTTTCAGTGTTCTGCAGTGTTTCAACATTTCAGTGTTTCAATGTTTCAGTAGCATCTTTTACACTGCCAGATTGTCGGTGAATGTTGGGCCGTTTTGCCGGCAAGCTGCGAGCGTTTAGACACGGACAAGGCCATTATCCGTCAGATGACGGGGACAGTGAAGAATGGGCCGACTTATGAGAGAATAGCCGAAGGACTGACCAGCCGCGGCTTCCCTCCCACGTCACTGTTTACGTCACACGCTGAGCTACACGTTTTGTTACTTGCTCACGCCCCCCATTGCCCCGAAAAAGGCACATTCTGTGTAAACAAAAGTACGTAGGCGGCATTTTGCTGCACTCCCCGATTTTGTTTTTATACTGCCAATGCTGAAAAAACCCTTCAGTGTTTCAATCTTTCAGTGTTTCAATATTTCAGTGTTTTGGAGTGAAATTGGATGACCTGGAGGCAGAAATATCTGGTTGTAGATGTTTTGCCTGAGGCATTTATTATTGTAGCTGACCTTGAATTGTTGCTGTTTTGGATGGTAAGTGTTTTTAATGTTTGTGTCCACTTTGTGTTTGTGTGTATGTGTGATTATGCTGCTGCCTGTCTTGGCCAGGACACTCTTGTAAAAGAGATTTTTAATCTGGGCATTCTGGATGTCACTAACTCGGCTTCTTCTCCGGAGCCTTTGTGCTCCACTGTCTCTCAGATTAACTCACATCACAGCGGTGCCTGGACAGCGTGATGTGTGTGGTTGTGCTGCTGCAGTGGTCCTGCCAGATGCCTCCTGCTGCTGCTGCCATCATTAGTCATTAGTCATACTTCTACTGTTATTATACACATATGATTATTGTCACACATGTATACTGCCAGATATTAATACATACTTTCAACATATTGTACCACAGTAGCCAGAACTATAACTATAATATTATTACTTTCAATAATGTTGTTGTAAGCTACTGTCATTACCTGCATCTCTCTCTCTCTCTCTCTTTCTGTCTCATTGTCTCATACAGATTACTGTTAATTTGTTATGCTGATCAGTTCTGTACGACATCTATTGTACGTCTGTCCATCCTGGAAGAGGGATCCTGCGAGGGTCCTAAGGACAGAGGGATGTTGTATGCTGTAAAGCCCTGTGAGGCAAATTGTGATTTGTGATATTGGGCTTTATAAATAAAATTGATTGATTGATTGATTAATCTCAATGAGTCTTTTCCTGGTCAAATAAAGGTTAAATAAAATAAAATAAATTTCAGTGTTTCAGTCTTTCAGTGTTTCAATGTTTCAGTGTTTCAATGTTTCAATCTTTCAGTGTTTCAATCTTTCAGTGTTTCAATGTTTCAGTGTTCTACAGTGCTGGCGTGTTGGTGTGTCGTTTGTTGTGTGTTGGTGTGTCATGTGTTGGTGTGTCGTTTGTTGTGTGTTGGTGTGTATGTGTTGAGCGGCTGTGGGTTCTGGGCTGAGCCTGATCTGTTAATCCTGATCTGGATTAGGTCCATCCTCAGAGATCACATCTTCCAGCTGGTCTGCAGCCAGGAATAGAGGCAGGATTAGAGCTGCAATGACCTGCCTGGAATGGCCTGGAACAGCCTGGAATAGTCTGGAATAGCCTGGAACACTGGGGCAGGTGATGTTATTGCCAGCTGGGTCAAACTGCTGCACTGCTGGAAATGTACTGAGTCACACTGAGGACAAGTTTTATTTAATGTCCTCAGTAAAGACCTGGAGCCTGGACACAGTCTCTGGGCTCATGGAGGGAACAGTGACACTCTGTCCTCAGATCTGTCCCACTGATGACATCATGATTTCACAGACTAAAGCCCTCCTTCTGTGTGTACGCCTCCTTCTGTGTGTACTGTGTGTACGCCTCCTTCTGTGTGTACACCTCCTTCTGTGGGCATGCAACATTTA